CATTAGAAACACCGACGCAGCTCACACTAGTTTTTAGCTAGTTATATCTTTATAATGCGAACTATGGACCTCAAGCTCTGAAGGCTGCGCACTAACCAACTGAGCTAGGCCTGCTCCTCATGGTCAGTTGGTTGGTTGTTTGGTAGGACTAAAAGTAAGTTGGAGGTTTTTCGTTGAACTGGAGTTTTGTTAGGGGGTAGGTTGGGGGTAAGTTGGTTGATTAGCTGTTAGATAGATTGATATTGCTTTTAATTGATTTGTAAACTATGCTGGCCGAGTGAGGTATAGAAGAAGTTTAGCGTTCAGTGTTTGTGAGTTGGTACTATTTATGAAAGTTAGTTTTGAAAATAAATGAATGGCATAACATACTTGAGGTCCTCTGTTTCCTTTAGCTCCTGAAAAACCTTTAGGTCCTTCTAAACCTGGTTCTCCCTACGAGAGGAAACAYAAGGGGTACATCTCAAAACCTCTGCTCGCAGGGTACATCTCAGTGACATACATAACAATCATTACCACAGTGCAGTCAACTCAAACAAGCCTCAAACATAAACAAACATTGAGCGTTTGTTTCCACCCTTTCCCCCCCGAAAAATACGGAAACTAAGGGTAGCGTATAGCGAGGAAAGCGCTGCCCCACGTCAAGAGAGTAGATTTACTTTTTTTAATTTTTAATTTACTTGTTTCGTCTCTCCTGTGCTTCCTTACATAGGAAGCGCCATAAGCACTCAAGAAGTGTCATGGATGCACTCGCCTACGGCTCGTGCTTCTCCTTACACTTCTTTCGTGCTTACGCCACTTCCTGCGTGCTTTATTACTGAACGGAGCACCGAAAAAGCTGTTTTATCTGTTAAGTATAATGCGCTATATAAGAATATATATTCTTTTAAACTTACTGGAGGTCCTGGAGGTCCTGGTCTTCCTGGTACTCCTGGAATCTATGAAAAAAACATTGACTCAATTATAAAAGTGGTAGTGAAAATCAACAGTGATAGTGATAATGATGGTGGTAGTAATAGTGATAGTGATGGTGATGGTGATGGTAATGGTGATGGTGATGGTAATGGTGGTGATAGTGATAGTGATAGTGATGATGATGATGAAAATGATAATGATATTAATAACGGTTTAGTGAAACATCTCTAACAGGTAGTAGCTCTATATCTTGAAATACACACACACAAATACATATATTAAGAAAGGAAATAAATTTGAAAGTTAAAAATATAATCATTCTAATCATTTATCTTTTAATATAATACTTACATATTTAACGTTGCCAACGACAACGGTTCCTGGAGTATCAGTCGTTGGAAATCCAGCCTGTCTTGTTTTTCTCACTACAAACTTTGGAATCGGGCGATCGCAGTCGGGAACGAATTGTTCGCAATAGCTTCCCATGCGTGTGGAGTCTGGCACAATCCGTAAATCATAAACTGAACCCTTAAGACAAACGAAATGATAGCAATTTAAAAGCGTTAAAATAAAAGCAATGCATACTGAAATATTGGAGTTGAAGCTCTCTTCTTCCCCTGCCGCATGTCATCACCTTGACAATTAGCCCCTCCCCCTCCCCCAAATAAAAAATCTACCGTCCCTTACAAAATCATTTCTCACTATATCTYTTTGTTAATCCTAAACCAACATGGCCGCCATGTCTTTTTTTCTTGACCCTCAGTCTTGGTACAAAACCATTTCTCACTATATCTCTTTGTTAATCCTAAACCAACATGGCCGCCATGTCTTTTTCTCTTGACTCCCAGTCTTGG